GGTGGTGAGAGGTGGTTGGCTATGGTGAATGGGGGAAGAAGATGGAGGAGGAAGATGGTGTGAGGTGGTTGGCTATGGTGGATGGGTGAAGAAGATGGAGGAGGAAAATGGTGTAAGRTGGTTGGCTATGGTGGATGGGTGAAGAAGATGGAGGAGGAAGAGGGTGCAAGGTGGTTGGCTATGGAGGATGGTTGACGAAGATGGGGGAGGAAGATGGTGTGAGGTGATTGGCTATGCTGGATGGGTGAAGAAGATGGAGGAGGAAGACGGTGTGAGGTGGTCGGCTATGGTGGATGGGTGACGGTGTGGGGTATCCGATACTTCGTCCTACTTTACGCGTCTGGATTTGTCTCCTTAAGTTTTTTCCCTTGTCCCAGACTTCAAAAACTTCAGACTTGCAGTACTAGTCCTACAGCAGATATGCAGAAAGCACAGACTTGCAGAAAACACATATTTCAGAAAACGCAGTCTTGCAGATCTGCAGATCTGTAGATTTTGCAGATTTTGCAGATTTTGCCGTTTTTGCCTAATGCAAGGAAGATGAGCAATAGCGAACTTCAGCAATCAAACAACATCATATACACAAGACCAGATAGTCGTGACCTTGAACCAACAGCAGAATTGCATCACGAGTTTCACCAAATAAGAACACATCAAGAGCTCGTAATTGACAATGCTGGTAAAGTCTCATCATCATCATCAACGAAGAACCAATGTTGATATCCTATCTGGCGCTCGGCGCCCAGACTACAGATGACAGATCCTATCTAGCCTAGACTACAATGCCGAAGATGACGTCAACAGCTTTCCCGAAGTACGAGCATACAACGACCAATGTCGCACGCTTCCAACACCAGGTATGTCTCTCACCTCACTCACAACCTCGTTCCCCAACACCCAGATGCCGCTTGCACCCAAGGACCACCCTGCGCCACACCCAGCTTACAGCAGCGTAGCTCGGCTATGGCTGCCTGCTCCTTCCTGCTCGCCCGTGAGCGCGTGAGTGCCAGCGAGCTTCAGCGCAGCAGCGCTTGCGCAGCATGCAACCAGCACCCGAATGCCAAATGCGGAGGCAGGCCCTTTGCTATATGGAAGTGGCCTGTCTGCTTACTGTCCTAGGCTGCGCTGGGCCTTTCCCAAGAAGCTTCCGGTAGGCCCCGGTAGGTTGAGGCCCAGTCCACACAACTCAGGCCCTGGGCCTGTAGTGGTTGCTCGCGCCCAACTGTCAACGGCCTGTGTTAGGCCCACATCCCGTATCCAGNAGGCCCAGTCCACACAACTCAGGCCCTGGGCCTGTAGTGGTTGCTCGCGCCCAACTGTCAACGGCCTGTGTTAGGCCCACATCCCGTATCCAGCCTAGGGCCTGCCTTCGATACATTCAAACAGGCTGCCGAGGGCGTGGGTTCTTCCAACCAACTTGCGCTGCGCAACTGCCTGAATTTCCTTGAGTTGCATGGTGACCAAAATATGGCCCTCAGGCCCTCGTCGTGCCTGCCTTCACTTAGGGCGGCCGACGTGATACTTGGCAGGGCCTGAAAGGGGCTCATAGGGGCATACGCCTCGCATTCCCTCCTCCATAACTTCGCTAGTCCTCTGAGAAGTTCAGTCTTCGAGGATCTGGCGCTTTCCCTTCTGCAGAGATTTCTCATATTGAGCTACGATCTGAGGAGCGGTCTGCATGAGTTCCTCCCTAGTGAACCAGCGGTCCTCCTTTGGATCCAGATGATGTCGGAACCGAACTCGGTACTGCAGCTTTGGTTTCGGAGGATGTCCCCTGCCTGTCGGTCTTGGAATGGGCAGCTCCATGTGATCCACGATGTTGTCTATGTCCACCTCTCCATCTATGGTTGGGGGCAGCATTGAACGTCGAGAAGGAAACTGATCTGTTTCCTGGAAAGGTGCAAGCTTGGAGGCGTGAAAGACAGGGTAAGTGCGTAAGTGACCAGGGATGCCAATAACATAAGACAGGCCATCCGGGTCATTCCCCACGACATCCAATACCTCCCACGGTCCAAAGTACTGTGGCATGAGTTTACGGGAAATCCCGTACTCTTGTCCCAGTTCGGAGGACTTCACCTAGACTCTTTCTCCTACCAGGAATGTAGATGGGCAATGGTGTTTGTTCTCAGACTCTATCATCGCCGCCTGTGCTTTGTGCATCTGCTCAACAGCCTGCTGCATCAAGTGCTCATATCTATATGCAAACTCTAGAGTCCCTGGTGCAGCAGTTGTCTGATTGTCAAGTAGTAGAAAGTCTAAAGGCAGTCGGGGTCTGAAGTTCAGTAGCAAGTTGTTAGGACTGACTCCGGTTGTGCTGTGCACAACATTATTGTACAAACTGGCGATGAGAGCAAGTTTCTCATCCCAATCTACCTGATTTGGCTTGATGTAATGCCTTAGCAGGTGTTGTGCAACGCGGTTCATTTGTTCAGCCTGCCCGTTTGCCTCGGGATGATTGCCTAATGTCATCTGCAGTTGCGTGCCTTGCTCTGCAGCTGCTGCTCTCCACAATTCGCTGGTAAATCGCACGTCCCGGTCGCTAACGATAGACTTTGGCAATCCAAAATCTCTAACCCAATTCTCCTTAAACATTTTAATCACATACTCCGTCTTAGTTGTTACCGGCATTGCAACTAACCTAGCAAACTTGCTAAACCTATCCACAATGACGTAGATGTAGCGCATTCCACTCTTCCTGGTGACCAGCGTATCCATGAAGTCCATGGACAGGCTCTCACCAGGCCTTTCCGGAATCGGAAGGGGCTTCAGGAGCCCAAGAGGAGCCTGAGTACGTGGCTTGTCCCTCTGACAGACCTGACAAGTCTCCACGTACAACTTTGCATCTCTCATCAATGTGGGCCACCAGAACCGCTGCAGCAGATTAGCCTCAGTCTTCTTGAACCCAAAATGTCTTGTGGCTTCATGACATTCGCCTAAAAATAAACTACGCAAAGACTACCTATTAAGCACACACAAATGTTTATTCCCTGCCTTCTCAAGGAACAGCAGGCCGTTGACCAACTCAAACTCGGCAGAAGTCCCTTTGTCCTTCGCCTTGAGTCTGCATATGATCTCGGCCATAAACGGGTCCTCGCGATAGGCTTCCACCAAAGACTGAGTAACATTGTCCGCAAGATTGAACTCAGTAATCAGCGCACCTGAGAAATCAGGTCTACGCGACAAGGCGTCAGCAACCTTATTGTACTCGCCCTTGATGTACTGGGGCTCGAAGTCATACTGCTCGATGACTTCGATCCAACGCTTGAGAGCGTCAAAGAGTATTGGCTGAGTTCTCATCCATCTCAGGGTCTGATGATCAATCCTGAGGATGAAAAATCTTCCAAGCAGGTAGTGCCTCCAATGGGTCAGAGCCTTGTAAACCGCATAGAGTTCCTTCTCATAGGTGGACTTAGCCAACTTCTGAGACGACACAACTGGCCGCAACTTTTTCCCCTCTTATTGTGCAAGCACGGCGCCTATGCCATATTGACTAGCATCCGTAGTTACTATACATGGCTTGTCAGGATCAGAAAGTTTCACGACCTCGTAATGCGTCAACTCATGCTTCAGATGTCTGAAAGCAGTCTCGCATCTCTCAGTCCACTCGCATGGGGTGTCAATGCGGGTTAGATCAATCAAAGGGGCGGCAACTATGCTATAGTTCTTCATGAAATTGCGATAGTAGCTGGTCATCCCTAAGAAAGATCTCATCTCAATCACAGACTGAGGACTCGGCCAGTCACGAATGCTGGCCACCTTCGCGTCATCGGGCTTCAATCCCTCCACGGAAATCTCATGACCCAAGTACAAGACACGGGTGCGGCCAAACTCGCATTTCTCACCGTTGATCTTGAACTTGTGCTGTCGCAGAAGACTCAAGACTTTGTCCAAGTGCGCAACGTGCTCCTCGACAGTCTTACTAAAAATAAGTATGTCATCGAGGTACACGATGACAAACTTATCCAAGTAGTCATGGAATATCCGATTCATAGCGTGCTGAAAGGTGCCAGGAGCATTGCAAAGACTGAAAGGCGTCACCACAAACTAGTACAGACCGTACCTGGTCTGAAATGCGGTTTTGTGTTGATCCTCAGGCAGGATTGCAATCTGATGGTACTCGGACTTCAGATCTATTTTACTGAAGTACCAACACCCTTGCACTCTATCTAGCAAATCGTCGATGCGCGGTAGGGGCTCTTTGTTCTTAACAGTGATGGCATTGAGGCCCCTATAGTCAATGCACATCCTAAGTGTTCCCTCCTTTTTCTTAGGTACGAATAGTATTGGAGACAAGTAAGGAGAAACACTCGGTTGGATCCAACCCTTTTCTACGAGTTCCTTGAGTTGCCGGCGAAGCTCATCGAGCTCGCCTAGAGACATCCGATAGATCCTACCCTTCGGGATGCTAGACCCTGGGATAATCTCTATCGCGTGGACGACCTCCCTCTCCACAACCCCTGTCGGCTCTTCAAATAGATCAGGGTACTTGGCAACTACTCCCTCTATCTCCGATGACATTTTCACCGGCTCGCCTGCAGCAGAGACATAAACTAGGTACATACCCTCCTCCTGATTTTGCTTATAATAATTATAAAACGCGGCAGCACACATGCATCCGTGGGACTCAATCAGACTACTAGCTTTGAACTTACGTAATCTGGCGGTCCCTCCACCTGGCAAAGTGTTTTTGACCACTTTTCGGTCCTAGTCAAACTGGGGCTGTGCCACAGAGAAGTAGTACATACCTAACAACATATCCATCGGGAGCTCGTCATTCACTAGGAACGAGACGCGATGTCTCAATTCCCCTCTCGCGTACGGGAAACAATACTCAACATCTTGGAGGTAAGCGGAATTTTGTCTGGTTTCGCACTTAAACGTTTACCCAGATCCCTTCCCGCGATCTTGAATACTTGAGCTCTAGTTCCAAGTTTGAATTTTGTTGATTACATTTTGGCCAGAGAGTGACGTAAAATAGTGGAAAAATGCCACATGATACTGTGTTTGTTCTGTGCGTGTCGGAACCACTCGTTCAATCCTCTTAGAATAGCATTAATCCTAAAGTTAGTTTCACTTTGAGGAAAGTGCATATATCCAAAACATGGTTGTGGCTCATTCCCTTTGAGGAAACCTTGGGTTTGAAGTCTTTTGATGTATTTAGCGGTATCCGCAACCATGCGCTGTTTGTTGGCATAGGTCGACTCCACAGGTCGACTCAGGCACTGCACTCGCCCCTGTAAGTGCAGCCTCTCAACGCACGCGCGACTAATGAAGTTCCTAGTCGAGCAAGTGTCATAATAGGCTTCGGCCTTGCGGCCGCCAATGACCACCTCGCTGACGAACATCTCACCCTTTGGGGCTTTGACTAGGGCCGTCCAAGAAGCTAGCGGGTCTAATCAAGACCACTCCTCCTCTAACTCCTGTAAGGACTCAAACACATTCATCGAACAGAGGCTCGATGGGTCTGAACGTGTTTGCGGGATGATGCTGGAGTCAGTAGCTTGGGCCATCTCTCGAGATGGTGAGGGTGTAGCCACCACCTCGACCCTAGTAGGAACAACTACTATTCCTACTTGCCCGACGTGTTTCCCGGAGCAGTGCCAGAAGTACTAGCTACATTGCTACCAACGGGATGGGAGGATCCCAACGCCTGCCCCATCGTAGGCGGGATCTTCTCGGTCACCTTCTTGTTTCGGCATTTGAACTGATTATGGCCGTATTGGCCACAACGAATGCAAGCCTGTCGTGTGTACCGATCTCTCCACACGTCCTCTGTGAGACCCGCCTTCTCCCATGGGGGAGCGTTGGGGTCAACTTGACTCCTTGACCGGGAGCCTCCACGATGTCTACCGGTCGCCTTACCTTTCTGAGCTACGGCAGCGAAAACTCCACCCCCTGAAGCTTCAACGCTGCCAGCCTCTGAACCTACTCCCTCCTGGAAGTTGTCGTTTAACTCGATGGTTGAACCATCGTTATTGACAAACATAATGCGACCTTTCGCCTTCCAGTTGGTGGGCAGTGACTTTTTCCTACCATCCGTAGTGGGTGCCTGCCCATGCCCTATCTTCGCCTCAAGGTATAGAGCCTTCTTGCTAAACGAGGGGAAGTTGTGAACATTGACGCTGGCCTCACGTGCCAAATGATTCCGGAGAGGCATAGGAAAGCATCTCAAGTAGGAGGTGAGTAGAACCTGGGGGTCATAGCGCACCCCAGGGACACAGATCAGACGCTCTACAGCGTCGGTGGCCTCCCTCACTTACTTGAACTGCCTCGTGTGCAGTGTCAGGATCGCATCAGTGGCCTTTTAAGCCTCCAAAGGATCGTGCCACCTTTATTCCACCAACTTGAGGAAGTCATCTAGTTGCTGGGTAACCGCTGTCGAGCGCATCGGTCCGGCATCGCACCAGGCCAGCGCGGGACCCTCCCGACCGCGTCACGCAGGAGTTGGTTTAAATCCTTTGTCGCAATATACATGGAGTTTCCACAAGCCGCTCCGGCCGAGTGCGCCAGCCATACCTCTCGCGAGTCCCTACGACAGGATAGGGCCTACGCGAGGCACAACTTACCTCCACCTTACGGGAGCTGTCACCTCCCTTCAGTGGGCGTATCCCCGCCGAGCTACCAGTCCACAGTACGAAAGCTGATCAGTTGCAATCGCAGAGGTGGACCAGCCGAGGGCGTTTCTCGTTCACTGTAGCATAGGGGGTACGCGCGGTAATACACCTATCGGGCCCGCACGCGAACCGACATCTTGGGGGGCTGAAGTCCAAAGCGCGGCGCGACGTTGGTCGACTAGGACGTATCCCACACACCACGCGCACACCACTTTACGAACACAACAATAAAACACACACCCACACATACAATCACGACACAACACAAACAACGCGACAACGCTCCTAGCCCCTCGGTAACCGTCCCATAACTCTCCGATGCGGAGATCGAATAGGCGTCGCGCGCGAGACTTTGTATAAAACCGCGCGGGCGCAAGGCTAACTTATATCGACTCGCAATGCAAACGTACGCAAGCAGTCTTAATGATGGCGTACTATGTAGTACCCATACTCGTGCGGTCCTCGTTAATCTCGAGGGTCGCGTTCGACACTCAAGTGTCGGCTGACACGCGCCTTGAGGGTTAACCTCTCGACGCTGGACAACCGCCATGCGCGGTTGAAGACCACACGCCCTCTTCTGCACCTTGTGCATAGCGGGTGGTACACAGGTCCATACCTGTGGTGGTAGCCGTTTCTTACTGCCCTGGGCATGAGTCCCACTTCGGGCCTGGGCGAAAGTCAAGGGGTTTGACTTTGACGGCTGCCACGGACTACAACGTCCAACCATACAAACTCTGAAAAGCAAGGGTAAAAAGGGAATCCCCCTTCTCTCTCATGACAAATTTGGATAACCCTTGTGCACAAATACAGTAGGCATCTCAAACGCTCAGGGCACTTATAATTATATGAGGGTTGGTTATATAGGACGATCACTTCTCACAGTCACAGGGAGGCTCTCCTCAGCCACATATGCATATAATCGAAGACAATCACATCCAGAGTCCGAACCACAAACATACCTGCAATCACATCAAAGATTCAACCAGAGGTCCACACGCTACACGGGGTCAACTTCAACCATTCTCTGTACTCATACCCCTTGCTTTAGCCATGCAAACATCAACCTCAGCGCAACCTCCCCGCAATAAAAATACTCAGTATCTTTGTTAAATGACTATTCAATAAAGTCCGGGTAAAAACACAACAAAACAAATAAGCCACAGCGCTAAAGCCTTTAGGTTGAGTGGCAGGAGTGAATTGGAGTTGAGTCGTAAGCCGACGAATCGGCAACCGACCTGTTATCAGTGATAACAGAAGATGATCCTCAAGGGATCAAGCTGAATCTAGTCATGAACTTGAATCAAACGATCAAGAAGACCTGTAACACATGACAGGCCAATGCCCCAGGCTAAACCTATAAGTCCATGGAGAATAATCCCCATATCACGATCCTACTCAAACACCCTAATTGACTAAGCCTAAACCTACCTCTAAAACAGTGCCCAAAGCAAAGGTAGACTAATGGCAGAATCTCCCCCATTCAGGGTGGATCGCCAGAATCGCCACCTATCAAAATATAATCTATCTCCACTAAACTAAGAAAATTTCGGCAGCGCTTCCCGTAGGAAAAATGCCTATTCAGAATTTATATAAGTCCAAATATGAGAGCATAAATAATCTCGAACTCTGAAAAGTCAAATTTTGTCTAACTCCCTGAATTAGTAAAAATTTGGGCAACATTCCCTTTAGAAAGGGAGACTTCCCAGATTTACACTAAGTCAGATATGAACTCAAAAGACAACTTGAGTTTAACTTAGACAAGATTTAGCCAACTCCTAAGTTTTGCAGAAATTTCTGCAGCACTCCCTCTAGAAAAATGCTTTTTCAAAATTCATACAAGGCTAAAGTCCAGAATTCGAAAGTAACTTTGACTTCTCAAAGTCGAATTTTGTTTAACTCCCTGAATTAGCAAAAATTTGGCCAGCACTCCCTTTAGAAAAGGAGACTTTCCAGATTTTTACTAGGTCAGATATAAAGAAAAGACAAGTTGAACTTTAACAAGTCAAAAATCGACTAACTCCTTGGCAGCGCTTCCCGTAGAGAAAGTAGCTTGCCAAGATTTATACAAAGCCAAGTATAAGAAAAGATCCTAGAAAATGCAAGAATTGACCCAAGTAAAAAAAAATTACTACAGAAAATGCAGGAATTGACACTAACTCCTATGGCTCTAGCACGTGGCGAGCAACTAAAGCAGCTACCTATCCAACTGAAACTCAGACCAAGTAGTAATCTCACTCAGCCACATGCAGGCCAAACCACAGAGGTAAGTACTCTCCCCATCCCAAGTTCATCTGGACAGACAATAGTTCATAATCTTCCAGTAACTTAACCCTTTATACCCTGCTTGCATAAGGCATAAGGTCAGGTCACCCAAACTTATGGAATTAGCCTAACTTGCCAAAGAGTATACACAAACATAGGGCACAACTACTTCTCTCTTCTTTGGGCATATAACTAGACCATTCTAGTCGCCCTGAACTGTTTAAGATATCCCAGTTATATATATTTGTCTTCCCTTTGTCTTTTAAGGCTGCATATGACTGAACTAACTTAAGTTCAGTCTGCCCCAGCTTACCATCATTTTTTTCTTAATTATACTCTCTTCAAGTTGTGATAGGCTATAGTCAGACCAACTAAACTTATAGAACAGTCTGATTAGCTCGTTCTTAAGTAGAATAATAATGAGTATAGTCAAGTTATAACCATTGGGTTCCAGCATGTGGGAGGCTTTGAGCTAGACCCCCTGAACTTACAGAAGGATCTAACTCTCTGCCAACTTCATTTCTTTCTGAATCATCATGTGTGTGGCATTGAGTCAGACCCCTTGAACTTACAGAAGGGTCTGCCCCTTTGCCAAGATTTCCTTTTCAGAATAAAACAGGAAGAGACTGAGCCACCTGAACTTACAGAACAGCTCGGTCCCCTCGTTCAGAAACAAAAGAAACTTAAGAAAACCTAAGAAACAAGGCAACTCAGGGTACCTAAACTTATAGAGCGCCTTGAGCTCCTAAAAATCGAACACAGTCAAACCCTCAGAGGTCAGAGCAGTCAGGCCACCTGAACTTACAGAACAGCCTGACCCTCCATGCAAGCCACAACACTAGGTCTCCCCAAACTTATGGGGACATCCCAGCCTCCAAAGCAATTTGACCGCCTAAACTTATAGAAGGGTCTGATGCTGCAATCAAGGCCAAAAGAAACAAGGCACTGGGTCTACCCAAACTTATGGGGACCTCCCAGCCTTAATGACCCACTCAACCTTCAAGCAAAACAATCCTCCTTCCTGCCTTTCCCAGATGCCATCTCTTTTTAACAGTCGAATTTCACACAACCAACAAAGTTGAAACTGAAACTTGGCAAGCATTTCTTTACTTAGTCTGGTTCAGTCTCCTGAAAGTCAAACCAAAAATAAAGTAGGGTTGCCCATCATATATTCAGTCAGAGATGCAATGGGAGGTACAGATAGGGGTTATACCTGGGTTCATAGAGGGGAATGGAAAGTTACCTTTCAGCTCCCTGCCTCCAGAACTCCCCCTGAGTTCCGGCAGAGCTCCCGCAATCGGTGGGATGACTCCCCACAGAGTCTTGCTACGGTCCTACGGGTTGCAATCCTGCCTGCCGCCTTCCTCTCAGAACAGGACTAGACTTAGAGTAAGAAGGATAGAAAGAGAAGGTTTTTAGACTCTCAGATCTAAGAAGGGTGCTCTCAGACTCGCAGGAGAGGGCGTCGTTATTTGGATGCGCCTGAGGGCCCCGCAATGGCAGCCAGAACAGCAACCGCTTGGTCAACCTGAAGTCAACCCGCCGACCTTACTCTCCTGACGAACTCCCACTTCGCAGCAATAGCCCGCTCTGCCAGCCTTGCCTTCAACCCCTACGCCACGCTTCCGTTCCCTGTAGCCAGACCGCCGAAATCAATTCACTGTCGAGCTCCCAAGTCACAGCATCACCCTTCCTTTTCAAGCCCAATCGCTCCTCCGAGTTTCAACACCTCTCCTTAGCCCAACTGTTGCTGTATAGCAGGCCGTAATGATTACCAATGACTAGCGGCAGTGTACAACAGGCTGCCACAACCAAGCAGGCAGCAGCTCGTCCACTGTACGCCACGACAATTTGTGCCCAGTCAACAGACGCACAGTCAGTTCGCGCGGCCAGCAGCAGCCAGTAGCAATACGCCGCACTGTCAACAGGTGCAGCAGCAGTACTCAGCGATGGCCGACAAGTAGCAGCTTGGCCGATTTATGAAGTCAAATTATCAAGGTTAACCCCCCCCGATGACCTCCTACTTTGCCTGACGACTCTACCCCTTCAAATACTCAGCCATTCCGCAACCCCGTGACTCGAAATGCACAGACCAGAGCTCAAAATGATCTTCTTTCTACAGCACCACAACACAGCAATAGCGCAGTCCAACTGACTATAGTTTCAGACTCGGGCCAGGATCAAGAAGCTCAGTTCCCATCTTTCAATGGTAAGTGCTGCCTCGTCTTGCTGCACCACCTAGTTCTCTACACTTCCAGAACATCAGTCCTATCAGAAATAGCAGGCTATGCCCCGCCTCCAATGACCACACTCCTTCTGGCTATTGCAGTCCTTAGCAATAGTCCGCCGTAGCAGTCAGTGCGCCCAGCGGCAGCTGCCTGTAGCGAACTGAGGGTAACCAGCAATCTCTTCAATGCCCCAATGGTATCTCCCCACCTCACTGTGGGTGCCATCCTCATCAGTGTACACGAGGTCATCGGGGATTGAGCCTAGGACCTCCCAAATCCCATCTGAGTGCCTCAACAACTAAGCTAGGTTGTCGGTTCCCACCGCCCACTGAGCCAGGGAGTCACCTCGACGACACTAGCTACGGGCAACACACATACTCCGGAACGAGCGACCCTTTCCTCAGGATGGCAGGTGTAGCTGGCGGTCGCCGACGGATTCGAGCCCGGCTCAGCAATTCGACAGCCTTATGCAGACTCTAGCTGAGCAGTCTGCTGATGTGCAAAATGAACAGGAACCTTCCACAAGAACGAGGAAGCATACGCCGAGCTTTGAAGTCGTGCTTGCAGAGGGGTATCGAGTGGCTACTTCCAACGATAGGATGCCCAGAATCGAAACGAATCTTCCGCTAGAACGCGGTAAGATATATTGTCTTCTTCGAAATCTTATCTCCCTTGCGCAGCCTCCAACCTTCGTAGTGCCAACTGCACTTCTTGAACCCGACTTGCGTTGCAGCGGCCATACCAGGTAAGCCTTTCTCGTTTGGAGCACTTCACCCTCACGCGCAGCCCATCATCGATAGAACGTCAAAAACAACGATTCACCGGCCGAACTAACGCTCCCATTCAACTCGCAACGGCCAAGAACCCCCGGTCAGTACTTTTCGTCGCTCGTTTTCGTTAGGAATCGAGTGAGATATCGTTTTCTCACTCCCATCACTACCAGYTCCCKCCATCTCCCGGCACACCCCATTTCTGTACTACCTCCTTCTCACTATACTAACACTAAAACTAACTCCACCATCTACTTCGYCCGTGGCCAAAACCCCGGGATTGCCTCTCCCCAAGCCCGCTTCCGTTGAGAATCGAATGGGCTAAGCCCTTTTCACCTCCTTCCTTCTCCCCTCCTCCATAGCTCGGCGCAGCTTGTTTTCTTCCTAACTCTCTACCTACTAACCTTCTACTAATTCCGACTTCATAACCGTATTCGCCCTCCCCTAAAACCTCTGAATCGGTCTTTCCCTCGCCCGATTCCACAAAGGAACGGGCGAGCTATGCACTTTCAGCGCCGGCTTGCCCCGTTTTCCACCATCTCCCGCCTAAAATGCACCCGACGCAGAAAGTCGTCCGGGTTCTTTTTTTTTTTTTCCTTTGTTCCCCGCTGTGTCCAGCGCTTCACTGCTTCGCCCGTCGCATGCACCCGGGACCGCCCCCCCGTCCGGGTTCGTCTCCTCCCCCGCTACCTTCTCTTTCTCCGTTACCCCGTCACTCTCCGCTACGGCGCTGCCCGTTGTTCCTCCCCGCTGTCCACTGCTCCCCTTCCATCGCTGCGCCCTCCCGCTGGTCCGCCATTCTCGTCCCCCAACGTACAGGCACCTGGCGCGGTTCCGCGCCCAGGTTCACTCCACCTATATCTGCCTGCTGCCTTCGCGCAGGGCCCAGGCCGCCTTCGCTTTGTCTCTTTAGCGCTGCCCCGCCGTTGCCCGTTCTCTCTCTCTCTCTCTCTTAGTGCTCTGTCCTTCCACACTGCGCAGGCACCCGGCACAGAAGTCGGGCCAGGTTCATTCTCCCTCCCCACCTTGGCACCCYGCTCTTACCTTTCTTCCTTCACCTCGCCCCCGGTCGGTAGCAGCTTGTGCGCTAACTCAGACACCACACCGGCACCGAATGACACAGTCAGCAGGCCGGTGGTCACGGAAGTCGAAATCCGCTAGGGAGAGTGTGACTACTCACCTGCCGAATCAAACAGCCCCGAAGGCCGATGTGTTGTAGCGCCCGACGTATGCTCAGAGGTCGTGGCGGCTCCGACGCAGCAGCGCGTGGGAGGGCGCGGGCCCGCTGCGAAGTCTATAGCGTAAGCCCAAGTGATGCGGGTCCCGTGGGAACAGCCACCGGGACAGGCTTGGGCCGCACAGTCAAACACTGCGGCAGCATCCCACAGGTGGCCCAAAAAAAGAACCCCGCCCAGGCATATTTCGTCATCTTGCGGGCCCTGGCGGGTACGCTCACACTCAAACCTCTCTCAGTTGGCCGTGGCTGGCGGACAGTGCGTCCTCGCAGAGGGTTCCCGCCACTCAGTTTTATTCCGCATCGTGGGCTAATCACCCACCAACTCGCATGTTCGTTAAGCTCCTCGGTCCGCGCTACAAGCCGGGCGGAATAGAGGAATCCCACCGGCGTCCCAAGCGCGCAGGAACCCGAATTCGGATCTGTTTATCCGCAGTTCAACGGTGTACCAACTGAACCGGACCCGTCAGTCCTACCGCAGGTCTCGGAGCCGATCACCAAGCAAAATTTCAGCAATAAAGCCAGGACCTTGAAAATAGAGAATAAAGCAACCAAAGAAAACGGTAACCAAGGCGGAGGCGGTTGCGTCGCTTCCCTTGTACCGCACACCCCTAGCCTCGGAGGGCCGCCCCCTTGCCGTCGTCACTCCATGCCCGCCAAGCTCCCGTAATCAGACGCGCGGAAGGCTGGCCTGCGTTTCTATTCCCTACACACCCCGTTCATCTCACAGAAGTCGCACCGCAGTCGAGGTCGATCTCACCAATCAAAAGACAAAAATATTTTTAATCACATGCAATCGCACCAATCAAAAGACAAAAATCTTTTTAATCCTAAATTAAAATCAGAAATATATAAATAAAAATCTGGTCGGCGACCATGCCGGTTTTTCAGTCATCAATAAATAAAATCATGCGCGCCTCAAGCCTGCGCGCCCACACACTCTCTATTCTAGTCAACCATTCAGTCGACCTTGACTACAGACACAGCCGCGCCTTGCGCGGTATACTTAAACTTTAATCCAAACTTAATCTCTGTCACTCGCAAAAAACAGGGCGGATACCCTTGTAAGGGTATTCGCACCGACACCGCCCAAGCGCGGAAGTCATGACCGTATCCCTGTAGCTGTACCAAACCACTCAACCATCTTGCTGCACTACCCTCTAGGTAAGATGCAGCCACAARCACTTCCTCGTGCGGCAAGGTGAGTTTACACTTGACATAGACTGGCACTGCCCTCAACCAAAGTGTCGAGGTCTTCGCCCCTCTTATCCCCTGTGAAGGGTTTAGGAGCGGCGATGGCCGTCTTTGGTAGCCACTGAGTTTGTCCCGGTCCCTGCATCCCACTAGGTTGTGGACCCTATGATACAGGCGGCTGCACTGGCTGTAGGGGCTGTGTACCATGCGGCTGTACAGGCTGCGAGGCAGCAGGTTGCGTGGTAACAACAATTTGCAACGGAGGTTGGGAATACACTGGCTGTACAGGAACCTGCAAACTAGGACCTGTTGAGAGCCCTCCTAATAACGGCATGCCCAGGGAACCGGTCTGAACCGATGCTGGGGCTATGTATGGGGATACCCCAGTCACCGGTGGGACAGAAGGAGGAGGTTGTGCAACGGGCCAGGCACCTGGCCCGGACGGCGATGGTGACGCTTGCATCCGCCCGACTAATACAGCCAGACTCTGTTGGATGTCCTGTAAGATATCCGTCTGGTGATTCTGCATCTTCACTACACTTAACAGAACCGACCGTATGGTTCTCACATCATCATCCATTTCTGCAGGGTTCATCCCCTCTAACTCACTAACGTCCGCTTCTCTCCGCTGCATCCTGACTCTTCTCCTAATCATTCTCTCTTTCTCAACCTTAATCTCTCCTAAAGCCTGCTGTAGTTGTGCCTCGCGAGCAGCAGCTCGCTGTATGGCGACCTTCTCGGTTGTCAACACCAATGGCTGGCTAGCCATAATGCCAGCGGACTGACTCTGGGTCTGTGCAACCGTTGACCCAACAGAACCTGAACTGCTAGCCTCGGTAGTCTGCTGCGCAGAAGTGGCCATGGCTTCCGAAGCTGCGGCTTCACTTACTAGTGCTCTGCTAGCCTCAACTGCTCTAACCCGCCTCTGCTGCTGTAACCTCTCCCTACGCTGGCGGAACAGGTACCTGTCTCCCTCTGGTCCTAATGCCAAATGGGCAATCGGACGTCTAGCCGATCGCAAGATTCGGTCGTCCTCTCTAGTGTCCTCCCTATCGCTCATAAGCTACAGCACTGCACACAATCTGCACTAGTGCACTCAAGATGCCTACCGCAGTGTAATGCACAGACCAATTTAAATAAATAGCTAATTAATTGGTGGTTGTGTCAGAGACTATACATTCGGGCCCAACAGGTAAGTCAGATTCCTACAAACGATACTATTTTTAGTTTGATTGGTCCGCGAACAGAATGCATAATGAACAGAGACACTTCTAATTATGTTGTCTGTCAGATGTCAAATGGCTGTACATGTAACTAATCAAAACATAAAAATAGAATCATTTGTGTGGATAGGCAGTATGGAATTTTTGTCAAACTTATCGCCTGAAATCTACCCCTCGCTTAGTTCCCCTGAATGTCACTTGACGTCAGCGTCCCTGAGCAATCTGGAGAGCGTTGCGTGTCTAAAAGGTGTGTGTTCGACCCACCCCTGTGCCCCGAGTATCTGTTGAGCTGGCCAGCCCTGCACTAGATTATCCTCGCGTGCAGCGAGCCTTACAATCATTGGCTGATCCAGAGGCAATTTAACGACCGCCCCCAAGTGTCATCAGGAGTTATTTTACGTCGCAGCACGACGACGATCACAGCCAATGATTTCCCCTTCCGGTGTTTATTTAAAGACGCCCGGTCTCGTCTCCCACTTAGGGCTGGCCTGCCCTTCAGTACCCATCTAACAGCGCAGCAAGCCGAACAAAGGACAAGCAGCAAAGCATGCGTGCTCTACTCCCGGTGGGTTGGCATGGTGACCGTGACCCAGTGCTTCGTCCAGGGCCCTTCAGAAAGCTCCGCCCATCTTCTCCCAAATGCTCCACGTGAACATTGCCGACTCTCAAGGTTGAGCGCACTCGACACCTCACAATGAGAGGACTCTCAAGAAAGAACACACAACCTCACGGTAAGAAGTGTCGAAGAGGGTAGATAAGGTTAACAGCAACATACCTCAAATAGCTGCCCCCAACCACAAAGATAATCTCACCAGATGACCTGATGCCGATTGTTATGACCAGTCATTGCTTCGACACAACCAGCATTGCACGCCGTTCCACCTCAGCACCGATCGCACATCAGATAGTTCTCATCACACTATCCAGACCCACATTACACCACACAGCCTTCCTGGCGATCCCCTCACCTCCTGGGTCGCCACTCACTCGTCTCCGCCCTCCTCACTACACACCACTTACGGCCCAACTCACCAAGCAGACCGCATGTATGTACCGCATTAGGCAGACGACAAGCGCCAGATGAGCGCAATCGTACCACAACTCCGATACCAAATTGCAAGGAAGATGAGCAATAGCGAACTTCAGCAATCAAACAACATCATATACACAAGACCAAATAGTCGTGACCTCGAACCAACAGCAGAATTGCATCATGAGTTTCAATAAATAAGAACATATCAAGAGCTCATAATTGACAATGCTGGTAAAGTCTCATCATCATCATCAACGAAGAACCAATGTTGATATCCTATCTGGCGCTAGGCGCCCAGACTACAGATGGCAGATCCTATCTAGCCTAGACTACAATGCCGAAGATGACGTCAACAACTTTCCCGAAGTACGAGCATACAACGACCAATGTCGCACGCTTCCAGCACCAGGTATGTCTCTCACCTCACTCACAACCTCGTTCCCCAACACACAGATGTCGCTTGCACCCAAGGACCACCTTGCGCCATACCTAACTTATAGTAGCGCAGCTCGGCTATGGCTGCATGCTCCTTCCTGCTCACCCGTGAGCACGTGAGTGCCAGCGAGCTTCAGCGCAGCAGCGCTTGCGCAACATGCAACCAACACCCAAATGCCAAATGCGGAGGCAGGCCCTTTGCTATATGGAAGTGGCCTGCCTGCTTACTGTCCCAGGCTACGTTGGGCCTTTCCCAAGAAGCTTCCAGTAGGTCGCGGTAGGCTGAGGCCCAGTCCACACAACTCAGGCCCTGGGCCTGTAGTGGTTGCTCGCGCCCAACTGTCAACGGCCTGTGTTAGGCCCACATCCCGTATCCAGCCCAGGGCCTGCCTTCGATACATTCCAACAGGCTGCTCAGGGCGTGGGTTCTTCCAACCAACTGGCGCTGCGTAACTGCCTGAATTTCCTTGAGTTGCGTGGTGACCAAAATAGGGGCCCTCAGGCCCTCGTCGTGCCTGCCTTCACTTAGGGCGGCCGACGTGATACTTGGTAGGGCCTGAAAGGGGCTCATAGGGGCATAAGCCTCGCACTAAGGGGGGAGAACCGAAAAACACAGACCAACATTTCCTTACCCAAACGATGTCAGACTAAGTCCTAATTTGGTGGGCTCTCTGTCCGTACCCTATGGAAGCACTCCACCAAGTTTGGTCGGATTTCGTCGTCATTTGCCCCTACTTGCCGTTTTCGGGCGCCGTCCGGGCCTCAAGGTGAACAGTTCGATAAAGTCAATTTTTCGTTTTTGCAGGAAAATGGACTCAGATGACCTGCAGGTTCTGCAAGTCATCTGTTTATGCCTAGGACATGAGGTCTGAGAAGTCCCAGCCCGCATATCCCTAGTTTGACGGAACTTGGCCAAAGTGTCCCCTGGTCGCATTGGCCCCTTAGTCCCATTTTCGGACCGGTCCGTGCTCCGGGGGTTGGCCATTGGTTTTTCAGCGACAGCCGCCGCAGCAAGGGACTCGGTCAATCATCATCAGCAGCAGCATTATTATGCACAGCAACAGCAGCAACAACAGTCCTAGTAGAAAAAACAGTCCTTTTCTTATCTCCTATTTACCACGTTCGATTAGAACACGGGGGGTCTCGTTAGGCCATTCAAGTGTCAAGTCGATTAACCAAGGATGAATCGGAATATCACCAAGTGTATGAAATGGACAAAGCAGGAGTGTGACTGGTGAGAACACATGCATATGACTAGTGGAGCAGCCAAGGATGAATCGGATTATCACCAAGTGTACGAAATGGACAAAGCAAGAGAGTGACTAGTGAGAACAAATGCATATGACTGGTGGAACAGCCAAGGATGGATCGGACTATCACCAAATGCATGAAATTGACAAAGCAAGAGTATGACTAGTAAGAACACACGCATATGACTAGTGGAACAGCCAAGGATGAATCAGACTATCACCAAGTGTATGAAATGCACAAAGCAAGAGTGTGCCTAGTGAGAACACATGCATATGACTAGTGGGACAACCAAGGATAAATCGGACTATCACCAAGTGTATGAAATAGACAAAGCAAGAGTGTGACTAGGGAGAACACATGCATATGACTAGTGGAACAGCCAAGGATGAATCGGACTATCACCAAGTGTATGAAATGCACAAAGCAAGAGTGTGACTAGTGAGAACACATGCATATGACTAGTGGAACAACCAAGGATGAATCAGACTATCACCAAGTGTATGATATGCACAGCGCAAGAGTGTGACTAGTGAGAACACATGCGTATGACTAGTGGAACAGCCAAGGATGAATCGGACTATCACCGAGTGTATGAAATGGACAAAGCAAGAGTGTGACTAGTGAGAACACATGCATATGACTAGTGGAACAACCAAGGATGAATCGGACTATCATCAAGTGTATGAAATTGACAAAGCAAGAGTGTGACTAGTGAGAAGACATCCATATAGCTAGTGGAACAACCAAGGATGAATCGGACTATCACAAGTGTATAAAATGCACAAAGCAAGAGTGTGACTAGTGAGAACACATGCATATGACTAGTGGAACAACCAAGGATGAATCGGACTATCACAAGTGTATGAAATGGACAAAGCAAGAGGGAAGGATTATTCAAAACTCTAGAATGAGCCCAAACCAAAATTGCGATTTACTACTAAGTGAAGAGATAGAGAGAAAGTGAAGCGAGAGTGAGTTTCACTCACTCTCATGCATGAGATCTCAAGATGGAAAGTGGCGATTCACATGGGAGTGAAGGAATGGACTAAACAAGAGTGAAAGATCATCAAAACACTAGGATGAGCACAAACAAAAGTGCGATTTGCTACCAAGTGAATAAATAGAGAAAAAGTGAAGGGAGAGTGAGTGAAACTCACTCTTATGCATGAAATTACAAGATAGAAAGTGACGATTCACATGCGAGTGAAGGAATGGACTAAACAAGAGTCTAAAATCATTAAAGCACTAGGATGAGTACAGACAAAAGTTGTGATTTGCTACCAAGTGAGAAAAAGTGAGGGGAGACATGCATGAAATCACAAGATAGAAAGTGGCGATTCACATAGGAGTGAAGGAATGGACTTAAGAAGAGTGAAAGATCATTAAAACACTAGGATGAGCATAAACAAAAATTGTTATTTGCTACCAAGTGAAGAAATGGAGAAAAAGTGAGGGGAAAATGAGTGAAACTCACTTTCATGCATGAATCACAAGATAGAAAGTAACGATTCACATGGGAGTGAAGGAATGGACTAAACAAGAGTGAAAGATCATCAAAACACTAGGATGAGCACAAACAAAAGTTGCGATTTGCTACCAATTGAAGAAATGGAGAAAAAGTGAGGGGAGAGTGAGTGGAACTCACTCTCATGCATGAAATCTCACTCTCATGCATGAAATCACAAGATAGAAAGTGGCGATTCACATGGGAGTAAAGGAATGGACTAAACAAGAGTGATAGATCATCAAAAACACTAGGATGAGCACAAACAAAAGTTGCGATTTGCTACTAAGTGAAAAAATTGAGAAAAAGTGAGAGGAGAGTGAGTGAAACTCACTCTTTTGCATGAAATCACAAGATAGAAAGTAGCGATTCACATGGGGGTGAAGGAATGGACTAAACAAGAGTGATAGACCATCAAAACACGAGGATCAACACAAACAAAAGTTGCGATTTGCTACTAAGTGAAGAAATGGAGAGAAAGTGAGGGGAGTCGTGCATGAAATCACAAGATAGAAAGTGGCGATTCACATGGGGGTGAAGGATGAGCCCATGGGGAAACCATTAGTAGTAAAAAAAACTCCTACCATCTACTCTAAGCTTTGGAAAGTGTCTATGGAGAGAGAGAAGATGGGGAAGAATAACAAAAGGAAATGAGGGAACATGGAGGAGCAGGAGAAGAGGAAGAGGAGGAAGGAAGAGGAGAGGAGGAGGAAGAAGAAGAAGACGAGGAAGAAGACGGGGAAGAAGACGAGGAAGAAGAAGAAAAAGAAGAAAAAGAAGAAGAGAAGGAAGAAGAAGAAGAACAAGCAGATGAAGAAGAAGAAGAAGAAGAAGAAGAAGAAGAAGAAGAAGAAGAAAAAGAAGAAGAGGAATATCCTCTTTCTTTCCACTCACCTCCTCCTAGTATCTTAGAGTTGAAGTATCAATCTTAATGATGCTTTCTCCTTCGCTTGGCTATGACTTCCTTCTTCCTCAAACCCTTCTCATCCCTCCTCCTCAGTTCCTTCCTGATGATGGCAAACTCCTATCACTATGGCTATGGAGTTCTCCCCTCTAAGAGGGCTAATGAGACTCATTCTAGCCTTTCCATCTTCCTCACAGTCTGGGGGCTATGGCGGATCACCTTCCTAGGCCACCCTCACTACCACCGGCCTCTAGAGCTCCTCACACTAGTCCACAGTCTCCTCTAAGCTCCCAAACTGGCAGGGGTGCCCCTCTCCTTACTCCAAGTGAGAGAAGTGCTTCTATAAGCTCACTTGGGCAGCACGGACACTCCTCATGCAAATGTGAGTGTGGCGGGCTTCTCCCTCAACTTATGTAGGCTGAAACCGGAGTATTGGCCAGCCCATAAGCCTCCCTATATGCCCCAAAGTGAACCGAGGTACCCCCAAGGCAAAATCCCACCACCATGCCCCTCTGGGGTACCTGGGCCTCATTTTGGCCAAGTACATGCAGTCTGAGTGGTTGGTACCAACTCGGATTGCCTCTTGGCCTCCTTCAACCTCCTTTTTCTTTTTAAAATGTTGCCCCCAGCCCCACTTGAGACAAAAAGGCCTAGAGGGCCTTTTTTTCGATGTTTTCAGTTTCTACCTCATTTTTTGTAGGTCGAGGTAGTTTTCCATGTCTCGATGCTATTTCAGCCTTGGATCTGGTTAGGATCCAAGA